AAGAAATGCACTCTGATTTGGGTCGGTCTCTTTTCCTGCCCACGACCCTTCTGTGCACCCCCCTCCGGCCTCCCCAAGGAATGCTACAGACGCCAGCAACTTGCGTTTGTGTGATAACAGCCACCATAGCCTCCTCACCCAGGGCCTCTCCCCAGCCCCGCCCCTTGAGCAGCAACGGGAATGTCAGACTTTGCAGAGACTTTTCAGCTAATTTTGGAAAGTAGTTTATATTGGCTGCTACGTGTTAATGAACAACTCTGGTCATATTTACATACTTTGCTGGTTAAGCATCTTTTCCATCTCTCTGCCTCCCAGCTTTATCGGGATCCTCCCCCCTCACTGCATGTCTGGCTCCCACATGCCCGAGAGCCCCCCACAGCCCCCTTTAAAGTGCTGTCTTTAGCCCTGAGACGTGCTGCAGGCGCAGGTGGGAGCTGGCTTCAGCAGTGCCTGTGGATGGGTAGTTTACCTGCACGGTGCCGTGGAAGAAAATCTGGAGGTGACTTTTCATCAGAAGAGAGCCCGGATCAAAGCAATCGTTTCCCCTTCTGATCTCGCTCCAAGTGGCACGGGGAGGTTGGAATCCACATCTGACCCCACTCTGCTTCTCAGCCTCGCTCCCTTCCTGGGGTGCAGATGAAAAGATTGTGGGTCTCTGCCTCCTTGTCGGGGGTGATGTTAACCTTCATGGAACGTTATTAAAGAGGGATTGGAGAAGGAAGGAAGGTTGCTTAAGCTCCTGTGAGCCCAGCATTCAGGCCTAAGGGGAAAGATTCAAGGAGCTTGGTGGGCTCATGCATAGGCTTTTCGTTGGTGATGCACGTGCTTTTGTATGTTTTAATCATCTGGTAGGCCGGCCAGGAGAGAAGCCCCTGTGGTGTAGTGGGTTACTCGTTGGCTTGCTAACTGCAGGGTCAGCAGCTCAAAACCACCAGGAGATACTCCAGAGAAAGACGAGGCTTTCTACTCCCATCAAAAGTTTGTCTCTGAGAATCTCACAGCGGCAGTTCTCCTCTGCCCAGTAGGGTCACGATGAGTCGGAATCGATGGGCTTGAGTTTAGTTTGAGCAGTGTGTGCAAGGAGGCGATGTAGACTTTGCCTCCCATAGCCCATCTCCTCTTTAGGGGAAATCACCCATGGAGCCCTTCAGCTTCCGTTTATTTACCTAAGGAAGGGCCATCCCAACACGTCCCTTGGTTATTTCCTTCAGTTCTTCCTGAAATGAACAGGGGTGTGTGTAGCAAGCAGTTCGCTATTGCCCCCCACCCCCCAGGAGCGCCATGTAAATGTGAGTTCCTGTGACCGGGAAAGGGGACTCCTGGGTCCCAGCCCAGCTCTGCCCTTGGCCTGTGTAAGCTCGCTGAAGAGAGGCTGACCCCTTCGCTCACTTTCTCCATCAGGCATCACGTGCCCAAAGCAAGTCTGCCGAAGCAGTTGAGCACAGTGCCTGGCCCAGAGCCTGCCTCCTGGCAGTTAGGTGGATGAGTTAAGAGTCCTCACCCTCAGTGCCCTCAAGTCCATTGCCAAGAGTCATAGACTCAGGTTCTTCAACCTCGGCCCCTGACATCTCGGATGGGATCATTCTTGCGTTGGTGGCTGTCCTTTATGTGGCAGGGTGGTGGGTCGCGTCCCAGCCTCAAACGCACTGCATGTCATGAACGGCGGGCGCCCCTCCCCCTCCTGGACTGTAACATCCCCACCACGTTGCCAGATGCTTTCAAATGCCCCGAGGGGGCAACGTTGCTCCCCCAATCCCCCACAGTGAATAAATGCTGATCAGAATGATGGCGTTCTGTGGAAGAATGATAGGACTTTAGCCATTTTTTTACCACCGTGGGAGGACATATTCCGAGTAACTCATTTATAATTACCCATCCCTTTGGTGGAATTTTAACGTTAAAAGAAAGCAGTGGACAGCTGAGTTGGAAGGCGTCAAAGCTAGTCTCCCAAGAAGATGGACGTACGACGTGAGTGATGTTTCTTGTGCGCATTGAACGCTCCACAAACGGGACAAGCCAATGCAGCCCTTGCTCCTTGAAAAGGAGGTTCTGTGGAAAGATGGTATGACAACAGAGCAACGTTTTTAAAATATGTTGATGGGTGTCTCTTTAGTTAGTTTCCATTGTGACACTGATACACTGTCACTGAAAGAAATCAACATACGCATCTTCACCATCTCTAAGGATCAACACCAAGGAGATGACTTTTGCCTTTGTGTGAATAGACCTAGGGCGGTGAGGGATCAGGCTCTCGTTTTCCACGAAGCATTGCAGTGGAGGTGGGACTCATCAGCCACGTGCACAATCGTCTGTGGAGGAAGATCTACATCCGACTCCTGGCAGCGCCCTGTGGGTCAACAGTAGAACTGTGCTCCCTACGATTTTCAGTGGCTGCTTGTCTCCGAAGGAGATTCTGCCAGGCCTCCTTTTGAAGTGCCTCTGGGTGGACTTAAACTCCCAACCTTTCCCTGAGTAGCTGAGCTCTCGAACCCTCTCCAGCACCCAGGGCTAGGACTATCGTACTGGACAGGAGGTGGAAGAAGAGTCTTGTAATGTCATCTGTAGTCGTGCCTCTTGGAGGGCGAGGGGAGCCATGTATCTGTCACTGTCCACAGCAGAAATAAGGGGTGCTAGCTAACATTTTCATCAACGCAGGAGTTCATCCAGCTGGGAAAGAGCATTCAGAGAGAGTGTTCACTCTGTGCACGAGTGGAAGCAGACTGCTCCAAAACCGCTTCAACAGAGCGCCCCACGCATCTTCTTCTTCCCCTGCCTGCCCTCCTGAGAGCATCCGTCCTCCTGGTCATCCCCATCAGGCATCCTGTGTCTGCACCGGGGCGGGAGTGCGGGGAGGTGGAACTTTCCCTTCTGTGTAGGGAGTGGTTTTCTGCCGAGTGATAGGCATTACCCAGAGCACCAGCATGTATTTGGTTAGCCGGAAATTGCATTCTGCTAGTTTTCCTAGAAAGGAGAAAACATCTTTCTGGTCAGGACCCTTGACGGTGAGCTGGAGATTGAGAAAGAGTGGGAACAATCCCAATTCAGGACGGAGGAGATGCCTACGAAACCTGTACAGTGTGATTCAGCTGTGCCATTGTTTAATTTAAAGCCCTTGGAAGAGGCAGAGGCTAGGTTGGGAGAAAAATGTTAGGCACTGCTCGAAGAGCCAAAATGTCACTTTGGGAGATGAAGGCGCGCCTGATCCAAGTCATGGTATTTCCAATGGTTTCACGTGCATGTGGAAGGAAGGGAGATTGCACAGGAACGGATGTGTTTGAGTCCTGGTGCTGGTGAGGAGTGCTGAGCGTTCCGCGGACTGCCTGAAGAACAAACACGTCTCATCTGTCCAGGAAGAAGTACACCAGCATGTGCCACAGAAGCAGGGATGGTGAGACTTCGGCTCCTGTACTTTGGAGTTGTGTCAGGATGGACCAGTCCCTGGGAAAGGACCCCCTGCTTGGTAAAGCAAAGAGGAAGCCCCTCGGCGAGATGGACTGCCACAGAGGTGACCCCAGTGGGCTCGCGCTTATTGATTGTGAAGGTGGTGCAGGATTGGGCAGTGTTTCCTTCTGCTGTGCACGGAGTTTGCTATGCGCCTGCACAGACTCAAAGGCTCTACACACAACGAGGACGCACGGCCTCAGTAGGAGGCTGGACAGAAGCTCCTAACAGGCTCCTCTGGAGCCAGACTGTGCTCAGATTGGAGCGTGGTGACGCCATGCGTGTCAGTAGAACTGCTCCGTCGTAAGTTTTCAGAAGTAGGCATCCAGGCCTTTCTTCCAAGGTTACCCGAGTTGGCCTCAATCCACCAACCTTTCAGTTAGCAGCCAACCATATCAACCACCTGCCATGCCCTTCAAATGTAGTGGCTTTGCCCTCTGCGTCTGAAGAAGCATCAGTCAGCAAACTGCTTGGAGGTGGGGGAGAATGGCCACATGCACGGTCACTGATGAGTTAAAGTAGAGCCCTTGGACCCACTCATGATGGGAAGCCATGGGTGGGGGTGGTTTGTGGAGGGGCATGGGGTCTCCGTGGTGAACTGGACGTTGGAGGAAGTTCAAAGATCCCCTGAGCCAAGTCAAAAGTGGTTTTTGTTCACCTGTGGTCACTACAGACATTGATAAAAACTCTCAAACTCACTGCCATCGGGTCGAATCTGACGTAGAGCGACCTGAAAGGATGGGGTGGGACTGCCCTTGTGAGTTTCTGAGGCTGTAACTCTGTAGGAGCTGGTGGTTTCGAACTGCCGGCCCTGTGCACTTGGCAGCCCGGCACATTCACCCACTGCGCCACCAGGGCTCCTTTGCTATTAAGCCAGAACATGTTTCTTTTAAACCAAAGAATAAAGTAGCCCTGACAGCTGATGTCCAATCAGAGCTTCGGGAGTGAGCTGCATTCTCTACTGGGCACTGGCTTGCCCTTAGCCAGGACTTCAGCGCTAGACACATGGGCAGGCTGACAAAGAGAGTGCAGAGGATGAGGGTCTGGAAAGGTCACAGCCCTTCCTAGTCAACTACAATGCCTGCCATCCGGAGGATTTTGTGAGTGAGCACTGCCCAGATCCCCGTGGACTCTCCTACCCGCCGTTTCCCCGTGTGACTGCCCGCCTCTGGGAATTTTATGCCACCTGCCAGTTGCTGAGTGGGTCTGCTAAGCTCGTCCCCACCCTGCTCTAGTGCCCTGGCAGCTGCTCAGGTTTTCCGAGTTGCGCTGGTCCCAGTGATCAACAGAAGGGCTCCCATTCCACGCTGGTTATTTGGGGCGGCTGCGAGCAGTGCAGCCCCTGCGCCCTGGAGCCGTGTGGTTGGGCTGTTGGGTAACTGTTCCCTGAGCAAGTCCGGGAGAATCAAGCCCTGACCCGTAGCCACCTGTCAGGTGGTGTGATGCTCTTCCGTGTTTCCTGCTTGCGGATCTTACCCAATACACGGAGAACCTAATCAACGATGAGGGGTGGGGCGGTGAACACTTACTGAGTGTGTGTTTCTGTGTTCTTCCCCTAGATTGAAAACATAGATGCCTGCTTGAATTTCCTGGCAGCTAAGGGCATCAACATCCAAGGGCTGTCTGCAGAAGGTGAGTCAGCATGCTTGTCCCTAGCCCGCCTCTTCGCCACTAGGGACGCCCCCCTGCTGGGGCCATCAATGCAGGGAAGATGCACCGGTGCTGCTTTGCTCTTCCGGATGGATTCCCTCTAGAAAGCTTAATGCTCGCTAAGGTTTGAAAGATTACTAGTGTGGTGCAAATAGGCATCACAAGACATAGGCCGGGGGACAGGGGCGGGGTGCAACAACTTTTCTTGCAAACGAAGACTTCCCCAAGGTAACATGGGCAAGAGTTAGGGCCACTCCTCTCCACCAGAGCTGCCCAGGTTCCACGAGCCTTGACTCAAGAATTCAGACTGGACTCACCTATTTGGCAATTCAGTTGATTATCAAGTTAGGTCTTATCTGAGAGAGAACATATTTAGATCATATTGCTCCCAGGTAGGGGGTGGGGGGTGGAAGGGGTGGTGTCAAACAAAGAAACAAGCCTAGTCCTAGTGCTTGCATTTAAAAAAGACCCTTCTCTTTGCTCTTAGGAGGACCAGGTTTATTTTTCTATCGTGATTAGTTTTAATTAACTCAGATTTGGTGGCTAAGTCGCACATTAGCGCTTGCTAATGATTTGCTGTTCAATTCAGTTTGGGTCTGGAGACCAAAATCAGTCCAAATTGTCAGCCTCCTCAGGCAAAGCCTGGCCCCAGAAGCTACGTGCGCTCCTGTTTGTAAATAGAAGCAGCTGCCAGCTCCCGGGCTGCCACAGGCCCCGCCATCCTCCCAAACTCATTAGCCTGCACCTGCCTCAGGGTTTCCCAGGACAGGTAAATCTGTCTGGCTTTTCAGAGGATACCACCTTCTCCCTAGCAAGATTGCTCTCTGTAAAGGGAGCCAAGGCGGGGAGGAGGGGAGCGGCGAGGAAGGAAGCCGTCGGAAGGAGTAGGTAAGTTTTCAGAAGGTAGGGGCACCCTGTGGGGCCCTGTCTCGCCTCTGGTTTGTGCTGCCAGCTCAGTTTTCCTGGGTCTTCCTGGTGGGGCAGGAGTGTGAAGGGCCACTCTGGTGCCTGGTGGCTGTGCCATGACTTAGAGTGGGGTTGATGGGAGCCTGCATTACACTGGTCCTGCCCAATGTCAGGCCGCTTCCAGAGGTCGCAGGCAGCTGGAGGGCGGTCACTCCTCACCCCAGCTCTTAGCAAGACATCCTTAGAGTCTCCCTTCTCTGGAGTGTGGACACGTCATGGAGATGGCCCTGTGGTATATACCAGGGGCTTGGACATGTGAGTGGGCAAGTGGAAAGCAAAGATCATGGGAAATTTCCACAAGCATTGTTTCGAAGCCCCTCAAACACTCTTGGGGAAGGAGTTGATGGTGATGGTGTTGACATGGGTGAGTGAGGAACAAATCATTGTGCCATCGTCATAATGACCCTGCAGGACAGAGTAGCAGACTGGCCCCAAGGGTTTCCCAGGCAGTAGTCTTTCCAGAAACCACTGCAGCATCATTCTCTGGGGAGCAGCTGGGGGGCTCCAACTGCCCACCTTTTGGTTAGCCACCAAGCATTTCCCCGTTGTACCACCCAGGATCCCCGTGGGTAGGAAGGGAGGTGTAAACTCTCTGACAGACAAATGCATGGTGATTTCCTCCTTCGAGAGAGAGAGCTCTTGTGTGTGCTGGGAGGTAGCAGGCCAGTCCCCAACACCCCTAATGTCTGGAGGTGATTGTAACCCAAGGACAGGCCTACACCCCGTAGCAGAGCCCCAGAGGGTTCGTTTGTGGAGTTTCGCTCAACATCAAGGGCTCTGCTGGCCACCTGCATCCCGTGTGGCCTGGAGGTGAAGTGTGCCCGCGATCCTCTTTTCTACTTCATCTGTTGCCCCGTTCTTCCCGTACCCTGTGGCACAGAGAATCTGTTCACTAAATATTTCTCAAATGAGTAAGTACCAACCCAGATGGCACTGTCGGGGAAGCTTGGGTGGCTCACTGCAAGGTGGATGGTTCAAACCCAGCAGCCACTCCAAGGGAGAAAGATGCGCCGTCTGCTCCTGTTAGAGCTACGTCCACAGAAGCCCTGCATCGGGTGCTGTCAGTAGCAATCAATTACATGGCAGTGGGTGTAGGTTTCTGGGTGTTCATTAAGGAGACTTTATCTACATCAGCGCTCATCATCGCGCCAATTGGAATGTATAATTGCCTTAATATACAGGTGAGGAAACTTAAAGAGATTCTGCATGGCTCCCCAAGGCCTGAGGCTAGTGAGCGGCAGGGTCTGGGGTCTGACTTCTGAGCTCATGTTCTCTGTCCTCTACCATGGGGTCTTTGGAGGATGGCAGATAGGTGCGGCCCGGGCGTGCCATGGTTGGGCCTGAGGGAAGAGGCCGGGAGAGAAGTGGTAGAGCCTTTGCTAGCTAGGGCCTGTGCCCTGTGGTGCATCTCAGAAGATGGTGTGTGACCTGTGGAGACAAGGAGGCTCTCTGCCCTCCGCCCCTTTCAGATGTTGGGCATGACCCTGATGAGTCACCGGGCCTGGGGAAGAGGGTACAGTGCGTCGGGGCATGACTATGAACCCGCGGGGGGCACTGCAGTCACTGCTGCCAGCGGCACTGTGTTAAGCCCCCTCCTTCGCTGCTGAGTCTGTAGCCCGCCCGCTGTTACTCTGGGCAGAGTCACATCCATTCTTTGGACAGTTTTATGTCAGTCTTTATGTGACTCAGCCTTGTTTGTTGTCAAACTTTAACCTCGAAGTCTATCCAAGGTTCTTTTCCCTCATGCCTTCTGATGCAAGTTCTTTTCCCTCATGCCTTCTGATGCAAGGGAGCTTTGAGGGGCCTGGGATCGGGGTGGCTTGACTTACATTCCTTCCCCTCCCCCCTTTGCTGTGTGGAGCTTCCGAGATCGGCGTTCCATGGGGGAGGCCAAGCCCCACTGGTGGGGAAGTTGCAGTCCTTCGAGTGGGTGGTCTCACTGTGACCTGCCCATCAGGGTCTCGCTCCCACCCTTGCTGCTCTCAGGGCATTGACTGTCTTCCGTGAAGGTTGGCCAGCTCGTCCAGCTCCACCCCCAGCTGGTAACCTTCATATCCACCCCCATCCCCTGGCCCCCCAAGCAGACTCCTCTTAGTCTCCTTACTGAGGTGGTCCTGGCCAGAAGACCCTAGACATGGTTGTCAGGATCCTTTCATCGGCCCCATAAGCCCAAGAGATGAGTGTAGGCTCCATCTTCCACTTCAGATGGGTGGGACAGGCCTGTCACCTGGCAGTCCCCCACGAGACAACCTCTCTCCAGCTTTTTTTCTCCCACTCAGATGGCCATGAGACAGATCAGCCAAATCTCTGCCTAGCTGACATCCAGCTGGGGAGGAGAATGCCAGTTGCCCCTTCTTGCCAGCACCCCTGCTTTAAAGTGGTTATCTAGGAGCCTCCACCCCCTTGTTGTCAAAGAGGGCAAGGGCCCCACCTTCTCGCTATTTCATCAAAGCAGAAAACCCTGTGTCCATGACCCCCAAACACAAACAAACCCATGGGCTGCTCACACACAGATCCACTTATATTGATATTGTGGGGTGTGAGTGATGTCAGAAGCCATATTGACACAGTGGTTAAAGCATTTAGCTGCTGACCATACGGTCGCTGGTTCAAACCCACCAGCTGCTCTGTGGAAGAAAGGTGAGGCCATCTGCTCCTACATAGATTGATAGCCTTGGATGCTCTCTGGGATGGTGCTACTCTGTCCTTCATGTAGATCATCATGAACCAGGATCAACTAGATGGCTGTATATTTTGGGGGGAGTGACAATGACTGTTGCCGGTAAAACTGGTGTCACTTGATACAACCTGTAGAAAGAGGGCTGCCCTCCAACTCTTGTAGCTCCTTGAACTTACAGATGGAGGTGCTTAGAGATGTTTATGTCCACATTGGGCCTTTTTCAGACTTTCAGGAAATACCTCACTTGACCTGCTGTTAAATTACATTCTACTCAGCACCATCCAATTGATTCTGACTCAGCGCTACCTTCTATAGCAGCGGTTCTGAACCTAGGGGTCATGACCCCTTTGGGGGTTGAACGAACCTTTCACAGGGGTCGCCGGATTCATCACTGTAGCAAAATGACAGTTATAAAGTAGCAACGAAAATAATGTTATGGTTGGGGGGGTCACCACCACATGAGGAACTGTATGAAAGGGTCGCAGCATGAGGAAGGTTGGGAACCACTGCTCTGTAAGGTTTCCGAGGATGTTCGTCTTTACAAAACAGACAGCAGCATCTTTCTCCCACAGAGCAGCCGGTGGTTTGGGACAACTGCAGTTGACAGTTCCTGGCTTACCTGGCAGCAACACCTGGGCTCCAACATTACATGATAGGATGAGAAAACATTGAGGCTCTACAGGTTTCAGATACTGAGCCAAGAGCTTCATGTACTTATATATCACTTCTCTCCAGATATCTGTGAGGTCAATATTCATATTGTCCCCATTATACAGAGAGAAACTAAGGTCCAACGAGACCGGCGCAGGTGGAAAAGGAAGGCAGGTAAGGTCAGGCAATGGCTCAGCTAGCTACCCTTCTGCTCATTCACAGGCTGGCTCCTTCCCTGACCTCCCTGTCCACGTGTCCAACCACCTGCATGACAAGTAGAAAAGCATCACGGTGCTTTGAAATGACTGGCCTTCTAATGTTTGTGTCTTCCTTTTGAAGACAATTGAGTGCCCCGAGGCCCCTCCTCTGATGCACAAAACACCAGCCGTTGGAAAGCCCCATCGAAAAATCCCCGCCCTTTCCCTGTGACTAAAGCTGAGCATGTGAGAGAGAGGGAGAGAGTACACACGTATGGACACCTGTCCTAGGAGCATTTCAGGAGCTAGGGCCCTGCCCTGACCTGCCTGGTGAGAGCCACAGAGAGCCTTTGTTGCCACCAGATGGCGGACGCCTCTGGGCAGAAGCTGGAGGCCCAGGTGAGCCCCAGGGAGGTACTGTTTGTGTGGGCACTTCCCCTGGATGAGGCTTCCTGCCCCCTCATTCTTCCTGGGGATTGGACCTGTCT